TACTTCATGCCACTTACAAAACAAAAGTTAGTAATCGAAAAAAAAAAACCCCAAAATTAAAGTATAAATAGCTTGAACCCTCAATGTCCCTAGTGGAGTTGCCAAACTGTTGACATGCCAAAATAAATGGAGTTGTCATCTATCCCAATGAGGTGGGATAGATCACCAAAGTCTACGTAGAAATTGACTAGGCTCAGAGGGTCAATTAAGGATAAGGAAGGTGTTAGGCACTCCAAAACTTCCATATAAATATGGTTACCACATACTTTAATTTTGGGAAATTTTCAATAAATAATAACTACCAAGTAATATAAGCACACACAAAAATCTTTTTTCCATTTCTGTTTTTTCTTTTCTTCTCTTTTTCCATTTCTGTTTTCTTTCTTTCTTTTTACGTTTCTATTTTTCTTCGCTTTTGGCCCTTTTATATTTCCCTTTTTCTACACTTTTCGTCTCTTTTGTTTCTGTTTTCTTTTTTATGCCTAAACCCACTTCATACCCTCTAAGAAAGTTTCTTTTTTGCTCTTTTTTTTTTTAATCTAAATGCATCTCTTAAGGAAAATAATAACAGATCCTAAAAACTTCATTCAAAACACAAAACTGACTTTTCCTAAAACTAAAAAAAAAATCTGCAAGTGATTACTTTGGATCACAAGAAACAAAACTAATGTGGGGGGAAACTAGTGAAATCATGTTTGCGGCAAGGACACAACCATTCTCAAGATCAATCATAGACGACAAACCATGAAAGCAACAATTTAAAAGGGAAACCAAGCAATTACAAATAACAAAAAAAGGAAGAAGAAGAAAAGAATATGACAGAAAAACACCGAAGAAAAAAAAATGAACACTGCACACCTAAAAAAAAAAAGGGGAAAATCAGAGTTTATTTTTCGTGAAGTTTCGGATACAAGCTACTATATTTCCTCCTCTTCTATGCTCTCTTTCACCCTCTCAACTCTCGGATTTCTCTCTCATCCTCAATTTTTGAATGCCCCCCAAAGTCGAAGGCCCCCCCCCTCATTGTATATAGAAATGGAGAGAACTCAAATCCTTTTCTAATTCTAAATTCTAATCTCAATTCCTATAATTACAGATAATGATCTAGCCCTATTCGAAATTGGGATTCTAAAACTAATCTAGTTATTTACACATCTTCCCTCTTTCAAGGCTAGATTCATACCTTCTCAAAGATCAGGACTCCCAATTTGAATTGAATTCGAACACTTCTTTTCGATTCTTGTTGAAGACTTCTAATCTGGATATTTCTTCTCACTAATGTAGTAATCTATCCGAACTCGAATAGATTTAGGGATAAACCAAAAGGATTTGGGAATTTTGGGAGAATGACTGTGGCACAGGAAAAGGGAAATAAGAGGAGTCGTGAAATTGAGGGCTAGGGTTCGTTTGAACCCAGCCTCTCTTTTTATTTTTTTTTTCAGCCCATTGGCAAAATGACGTCATTTTGCCATTTCCTCTTCTCAGCCCTTCAAGTTTCTAGCTTTTTACAAAAATAGTCCATCGGCCTCTGATTTTATCATTTAGCCCCTGATAAAAATTGGTTTATGATAAGAGGTGAAGGTAGGAAGGATTTGGGATGTGTTCATTCCCAATAGAAGAGACAAAAAAGGAGATACGTATGGCTTTGGTAGCTTTCTCAATGTAAAAATTGATAAGAAGATCAAGACCCAACTGGAGTATCTTTGGATTGGAACTTTAGAGTCAGATTTAACCAAGCAAGGGAAAGGAAGGTAGCTTGGTGAAGAAAATGTCCAAGCATGATTGGGGAGGTAAGTCAGAAGAGCAATAACAAGGTGGTGGGTTTGTTTGTTGTTAACAGTCGCAAAGGAAAGAAGGCATTGCAAAAGAAGATTTACGTACAATGTGTCATTTAATAGAAACCCACGCAAAATGATAGGAGCTCTGTCAACGTTAATCTAACTCTATCTGTAGCCAAAAATTTTCAAAAGAGTTCCTTTGTGAACTTTTACACTATTAAAATGCTAGACACATTGAAAGGAAATGAAGTAATCAAGTATGGGCAACAGTGATTATGAGAAATACATAATGACAAATGAAGTAGGCATGGTACTTTCACTAACAATGATCCTAAAGCTACGAGATTTGTTTTTTATAAAGTGATATACACCAATTAAGATTACACTCATGGATCATAACCTTGTATTATTTTCTATAGATGATCTAGAAAATTGCAAGGGAGCTACTAAATGAGGAACCAAAATGGCTTTTGTCTTTCTTTGATTGAATCAAACTCTAGTCTACTTCAATTATTACAAAAGAGAGGTTCACATGGGTTTGAATTAATGGATTACCATTGCACACTTAGACATAATATTCTTTAATGAAGATCGAGAACCAAGTAGGGTGTTTGACGAATACGGCTTGAGCGAGGAATGTTTGGATCTTGCATGAATCTTGGTTTCTACAAAGTCAAAAATGGAGGTAAAAGGGGAATTTAATTTAGGACTCAAGAACGAATCCATCCATTGTCCATGTCTGAGGAAATTAGGAGAACAAGTCCATAGTGGTTGAAAACGGTGGATAGTTTGATTGAGAAATCTAGTTTTAGTTTATTGGATTATAATGATTGCGTAGGCATGGGAGACTTTGCCGATGATGATCGACTAAAATTGGAAGGGTTAGAAGATAGAGAATTGTAACAAGATATGAGATGCATTAATGAGGAAGGCAATTCTTATGGGATGAACTTCCTTAGGACGTATCCCAAGCATGTCTGGTTAATGCTAGCGTGCACATTGGCAAGTTATGTGTAGATGAGTAGAATCATCTCACATACAAAATGAAGAGGGTGGGACTCATAAGTCAAACTAATATGATGAAGTTGGTAGATTTAAGTGGTCAAGTGGTTAGAGAAATAGCCTAACAAGTTATACCATAAGCCCATGATTATAAAAAAAAAAAAAAAACCCAATTAGGTGCTCATAGAAGAGCCCAAGGAGTCTAGGTCAACAAAACAAATGGTAAAGGCAGGAGTTTGTTAGGCAACAAAGAAAATTATTCAGAGTACAAGTCCCAAAAAAATGGAGGTTCATCTTTGGTGTCCAAAGAGATAGAAGAAAGAACATGAAAAACATATCGTGGAATTAAAAGGTGGGGTTTTTTATGGGTTCATTATCTTGGAGTGGCATTGAATGTTGAAATAGGAGGATTAGAGAGGAGATTAATTCTATAGAGGAAGGAGATTGCTTAATTTTGGAGAAAAGCTTGGGTTCAAAGTGGCAGGTTGAGAATCTTAGGTGGTGGAAGATTCAAAAGGATGGAAGAACATGATCAAAGGGGTTTTTTTCTTTTTCTTTTTTCTTTTTTCTTTTTTTTTTTCATAAAAACCTCTAATCTACAAGAATTTAGTGTGGTTAGTGAGTTATCTTTAATAAAATTCTAATATTCAACGTATGAGGGTTGGGCAACTTGGTAAAAAAGGAAAGAAGTGACAAGTTTTTCTAAAAGGAGAGTATTGATTTTGCTTAGTTTCAAGAAACAAAGATGAAAGCAATTTATAGTCAATTTTGTAAATTGTTACGGAGTATAGATAATATTTATTGGGCATTCAATGCAGATTAAGGCATATTTTATGTGTGTAGGACAAAGATATCTTTGAGAAGCTATCAGTAATATAAGGGCTTGGTATTCTACCAATTGAAGGGTTATGAGTGGGGATGATTAAGAGATGTCACATTATGAATGTGTATGCTTCTTGTAACAAGGAGGAAAGGTAGGGAACTTGGGTTGAATTACTAAATACGATGAAGACAAAGGAAGACTTATGGTGTGTAGCTAGCGATTTTAACAGTATAAGATTAGTCAGAGAGAAAAGGAAGAAAAGAACATTCTTAATATAGGGAAGACCTTAATGACTTTATTGAGTAGGCTGGGCTAGTCGATTTGCCGTTAACAAGGAGAAAACACAAATTACAAGGTTGAAGGTTTGATAATGAGCTAATTGGATAAAGTTCTTTTATCACAAGATGTACTCAATTTTTAAGGAGATTGTAGCCAAATTGGGATGAACATAACCATTTCAGATCATTGTCTGGTGGTGTTGAAGACCCTAAAAAGTGATTGGGATCCAAAACCCTTTAGGACTATCAATTGTTAGGACAAACACCTTGATTTCAAGTGTTGAGGAAAAATAGAATTCCATAGATAGTAAGGGTGATGAAAAGGATTTTAATGCAAGGAGAACCTAAAGAAGGAGATAAATTTTTTCCAAGTTTGGAATTCAAGGGTATTTGGTGACTTCAAAAAGCATATTAAAGATGTGAAAGTTAAAATCAATGAAGTAGTTTTAAGAAATGAAATGGGAAAGCTACAAAGGAAGATGTGCTATTAAGGATGGATCTAACGAGTTGTGGAGAGATTGGAAAAGAAGAGAAGTGGCTTGGAAACAGAAAACAAAGTTGAATTGGAAGTAATAGGGTGATGCCAACTCAAAGTTATTTTATTGGGTGGCTACTGTAAGTAGCTTAAGAAATAAAATGCTTGGTGTTAACAAGGAGGGTAAGTGGGTAGATGAACCACAGGAGGTGAAGAAGGAAGTGAGGAAGTACTTTAGAACAATTTTTGACGATTAGTGGGACAAACCAAAAGTTGAGTGCCTTGCATTTCAACAAGTTATCTAAGGAAGATATTGAACAATTAAAAGAGAATTACAGTAGAAGAAGTGAAGCAAGCAGTTTGGGAGTGTGGAAGTGACAAATCATCTAAGCCACACAACTTTAGCTATCATATACTAAGATCATTTTGGGATGTGATTGAGAATGATGTTGTAGAATTCATTTAGGAGTTCGCCATAATGGAAAGTTGGTAAGAGGATTGAACTTATCTTTTATTGTTTTGATCAAGGGTTTGGAAGTTGAACCATTTTGGTCTTCAATTCTTGGTTTGACTAGTCTAACCAGTTGAATCAATCATACCATCAGTCTGATTCAATTATAAATAATATAATATATCTATAACAAAAGGATATTATGCATCACATATCAATAAGGCTCTGGTGGCTCTAATGGTAAGTACTCTTTTTTTGTACTTGAAAGGTTATAGGTTTGAGCCCTTAAGATGTCAAATTAATATATTATGTAATTGCCTTAAAGAAGTAGATTTCAATGCATAAAATAATATGAACCTTGTTCTAGAACAAGTGGCTTCTCTATATGTTAAGTCCTTAAGATGTGAAATTAATATATCATGTAATTAATTACCTTATAGTAAATTGATTTTAATGTAGAAAATAACAAAAAAATTTGTTTTAGATCAAGTGGAAGAAGCCCTTAAATCTAACCGGAGGACATCTTTGATTAGGGGTGTTCGCGGTGTGATTTGGTTCAGATTTTAATATTTTTTAAACCAATCCAATTTAATCGGTTAATAAAATTTTTAAATCAATCCAATCCACTATTGTATGATAATCAAACTAATCCAACTTAAATCGGATCGGTATGGTTCAGTCGGATTGATCAGTTTTTATCATTATCAAATATATGAGATAATGTAAAAATATTTTAATATCAAATAAAAAACATAACTATAAAACATATTAACATTCAAATTAGTAAAAACCATCATAAAATGTATAAATTATAAATAAGTTTTTATACTCCTTTACATTTGTAAAAATTGAAAAGTTCTGAAAATTTTTCTTGGTTACATTACTAGAGGCACCAAGAACAATAAAAGATGACTTCAAGTTTCTAGCACAACGTAAATAATTCTTAAAGGTTAAAATTAGTTTTTTTTTTAATACACTAATAATTTAATTACATCTTCTAAATCCTGTTAAAAGTAAATAAAATTTAATATAAATATTACTAAAATTGATTAGAAGCATTCATAATCAAAATTTAAAACTTCTAAACCAAATATCTAATAATAGTAGAATATCAAGATTAGATTTATTATATTGTTTTAAACCTTTTAGAATAATACTTTTTTAAAACATAGTTAAGAGAATCATACTATTATTTTAGGAACAAATTAGAAATTCAGGATTCTAAGAGTAAAGGCGTAAACCAATTTTCAGGGGATAGAGTTACAGGTGAATTAGAAATTTAGAATTAGGGTTATGGTGCATGATTAAAATGGAAAAATAACTTAAAGAATATAGAGATGTTTTATTTTTTATTTTTTAATTAAATTAATAACGTTATTATCTTGTAAAATAAAATAAAAAAGAAATTTTAAAATACTACAAAAAATTATACTATATTATTTAATTAAGTTATCTTATAATTGGATTTTATTTTGTGATCGAGTAGTTCGGGTGGTTTAAAGATAAAATTACAATCCAAACCAATTATCAGTTTTAAAATTTTATAATTTAAACCAACTCAATTTTATGTTGGTTTGGATCGGTTTTTGATTTGATTGGATTGAATCAGTTTAGGTCGAATCAATTAGATAGAATCGGATATGAATACCCCTATCTTTGATGTTTCAAAATTTTAAATATTCCTTCAAGTTTAAGTTACTACATTCTAAGAAACACAAAACACAAACAAAATTGAAGAAAAAACTACGAAAAGAAAATTCTAGCGTAGAATCAAAGACCATACCTGACGGAAATCAAAAGATTTACTTTAGGAAAGAATCCCCAAGTAAGGAATCCCTCAATCAAACTATCTGTTACGGTTACCACAAACATTCAATGGAAAAATCTTTCAGTTTATACTTTATACCACAAAAAGAAGTTAATCTCCGAAGAAAACAAAAGGAAAATTAGCCAAAGGAAGATTACCTATCTAGGGCTAGCAATGGCTAGACCTCCAGAGAGCGGAGGACGTTGCAATCATATCCATTAGCTAGTGCTCCTAATCCTCTCTAAAATTGCTCAAGTGCATTGGCTTCAACACTAATTGGAGAAATATGGTGAAAGGAGACATCATTAAATCTAAACTTTCAGTTAGTGAAACCTTAAACTTTCAATAAAAAATAATTAATAACAGAAATTAAACCTTTAATTTGCATTTTAGATACTGATGATTTCTATATTGGCAAGCCTTCAATTGGACAATTGCAGAAGGCTAATCGGCAACTTTAGGAAGAAGTTCTGGTTTTAGAGACTGAGTGGAGAAATTTTATGAAGAAATGAGAATAGAACAGAAGAAATAAGGAAGTTTGGGAGAAAATACATTTCAGAACAAAACTATTAGGAATTCAATTGTTTTTTAATAAAAAAAACTTATATTGTAGTTTGGATTGTATTCGACTGCAAAACAATGACCCTTGAATTGGGGGAGAATTCCTTGTTATTCAGCTTTCCTTTCCCATCAAGCACCTTAATTTTGCAATTCGGTATAATTTAGACTGCAAAATAGATAATCTTTTTAATATTAGGAAAAAAAATATTTTTCAATTAATACATTTCAGCTAACATTTGGGACTGGTTCATTTTTTTTCCCCAATTTATTGCTTGTGTTTTAAACTGTAAATGCAAAAAACAAATACAACCGCAGACTTAAAAATATATATATATAGTTGACTGGCATTCCTTTCGACTGCAAGAAAATAAATGCAAGAGTAGACCATTTTTCCTATAGTGATAGCTTGATAAATGGTTTGTACAAAATTCTGTCTAAGGCATTAGCAAACAGAATGAAGAAGGTAATGCCAAAGATTATCAATGAGACGCAATCGGCCTTTGTAGTGAGCCTCAAATCACAGACAGTATTCTAGGGTTAAATGAGGTAGTGGATGAAGTCAAGAAGAAGAAGATGCGGATTTTCATATTTAAATCTAATTTTGAGAAAGCCTATGACCATGTTAACTGGGCCTTTCTAGATGAGATGATGTTGAAGCTTAAATTTGGCAAGAAATGGAGAAAGTGGGTCTGAGAGTGTCTTGATTCTACTTTTGCTTCGGTGCTTGTTAATGGCAGAGCCCTACCAAAGAGTTTAACATGCAACGTGGGATTAGTTTAGGGGAACCTTTAGCTGCCTTTCTTTTCTCAATAGTGGCGGAAGTGGCAGTACAGAAAAGGCTGTTGGGAGTAAAAATTGGTTTGCACTGGCTGAGTATTTCCCATATTCGGTTTGTCAATTGACACTGTTATTTTGGGAAAGGACTCTTCAGCTAACATTCCAACAGTTAAAAGGCCAGGATTCTCAGGTAGTTTGAATTAAGCTCGCGCCTTAGAATCAATTTCAGTAAGAGTGTGTTATACTAACTGAGTGTGTCTGAAGAATGAAGAATGGAGTAGATTGGCAGCTGCAAATCTGAATTGTAAAGCTGGACCGACCTTTGCCATTCATTTATCTTGGAATGCGGCTATGGGATAGAATGTGCAAAAGAAAAACTAGGAAACTTGTTATTGATAAAGTCAAAAATAAGTTGGCAGTCTAGAAAGCGAGGCTTATGTTATACAATGGTTGGGTTACGTTGCTAAGGTTTGTCTTCTATGCTATTCCTATTATTTCATGTCTATATTCAAAAGACAGTGCTTAACGAATTAAGGAGCTTTCCAAGAAGATTCCCGTGGGGGAGTAAAGGGAGAAAGAGAGAATGGTTTTGATTAATTGGGAAAAGGTGTGTTTAGATAGAAAGTTATAGGGGGGCTAGGGGTTCCTTGTCTTGAGAAAAGAAATATAATAGCTTTGATGGGTAAATGGTGGGATAGTTTTGGTAATGATGAGTCTAGTTTATGGAAGAGAGTAATCGTTGATAAGTATTATGGGGGAGAGTGGAGCTGGGACATCGCTCAGGTGAAGTCTCCTATTGTGTCTAGTATTTGGAAAAATATCCTTTCCTTGGGGTTAGAAGTTGGTACTGGCAGCTGGTTGTTTAGGACTTGTTCTGCTAGAAAATGGGGACGAGGGAGACAAGTTTTTGGTGGGATATTTGGATTGGCACAGTACCTTTAAAAATTGTTTTTCCTCGCCTGTTCAAATTATCTACTAACCAAAATAGTCTAGTTTTAAATATGGGATCATGGTCCAATGGATGATGGTCTTGGAATCTTTCCTGGAGGTGCTCTCTTTTTGGCTGGGAATTAGATGAGGATGCAAACCTAAAAACAATTCTTCAAGGCTGCAACATGCTGAGTGCCAAGATCAAAGAGTTTGCAACATGCTAAGCCACGAACCAGACAAGGATGGGACTGCATATGGAGTACGGTTGTGTGGACTGTGTGGCTTGCTCGTAATCAAAAGTTATTCCACAACAAAGAGATAAATGTGGGGAAGCTGTTTGAACTTATCCAACTGAGGTCTTTCTAATGGATTAAAGCTAGAAAAGACAGGTATGCCTTTACTTTAACAGATTGGCTAATTAATCCTGTTGAATCCATGAACGATAAATGTGGAGGAGGGAAAGACATCAAAGGAAGGATTGGTACCAAAGAAATGATCTCTTGATTGTCTTTTGAATGGTGTAAAATGGGTTGACTACCCCTTGTACTCATTTCAATAATAAAAAGTTCTTTGCTGCTCAAAAAAAGAAAAAAAAAAAAAAAAGAGTTTGGAGTTTTAATTCAGGTTCAGTAATTCTTCTAAGAAGTCCTATTTCTTTGATGGGGGGAGCAAACCAAGATTTTGGATGAGCTTATTTGCAAAAGGCTTTGGGGCAAGACTATACCTTCAAAAATTAGTTGCTTTGGATGGCGGCTCCTGCTGCATGGTCTTCCGTCAAAGCGGCTGTATTACTGAACAGGGAAATTTATCCAATTAACAACAATGACAAGCATGGTGTTTTTGTACAGAAGAAACCAAGGGTGATGATCATCAATTCATTCAATGTGTGAAAGTGCAGAAGCTTTGAAAAAGATGTTATAATCGGTGGGGGCTCTCACTTACTATAATTCCAGATTCTATACATTCAATATGTACAACCCATCGTCAAGGCATCAAAACGTGGTTAAGGCTGAGGTTTGGTTTTTTATATTCCTTGTGGTTACTTGGTCAGTCTGGTTCATGAGGATATTAATGATTCATAGCTCTGCAAATTGAGATGAAGGTAGGATTCTTGAGATGGTTCAACAGAGATCTTTTTCTTGGATAAGGGACAGAGTTGTAGGTACGGTGAGATCATTGGGTTTCGTCACCTCAGCTGCTTGTGAAGGAAATTTAGAAATTTCATCTGAACCTGTACTTTTACAGCTTTGCTACCAATAGTTGCACATATTGCCTTGAGAAACAAAAAGTGTTTGTGCTGTAACTAAAATTTTGTGATGTATATGTGTTTATATGTGTTTAGCAATGTTATAATTATAATGTTACAAAAAATTATAATTTTATAATTATAATATGTAATTAAATGATTAAATATATATAATATTATAAATATACTCTTAAATATAAAGAGTTAATTATATAATGATATTAAACTTACAATGCTTTTTTTCATCTAAACTAACTCCCAATGATCCAAATTAAATTGTGGCTGCGTGGAATGACTAGAATTGATATAAGAATTTTCCTTTTGTTCTTTATATGCTTTGTAATCTGAACAGTGTAGAGAGAGAGTACCCTTATACCGCACTAATAAAAACTTGTCATTGCCGATAAAAAAAATTAGATTTATAATATTATGTAATATTATAATTTTATTATTTTCAATATACACTGAATCACTCATGTGCTTTAAATTATTAAATTTTGATTAATAGAAAAAAAAATACTCTTTTTATTTTTAGTAAAGAAAAATTTACTTTGTTTTTAAATAAACACAAATTATATTTTTTGTTTAGCAAACTTTGTCTAATTAACAAGAAATTAAAATTCTTTTATGATAAGTTAATAAAAAAAAAGTAAAAGATCATAACCAATTAATGTTATTGAGAGAAAAATTGAAGGTGAAACTAGTTAAAGAATTAGTAATCTTGTGTGGTGGCAAAAAATAAGTAAATAAAATTGTTAAATTGTTAAATAAAGTTAAAAAAATTTCAATTCACTAACATTTTATATGAAGGGGCTGCCTGATATAACAATTTGGGGTGGTGGTTAGTGGTTTTGTCAAACTACTAAGAATATGTATTTGGTAAATTTATTTACTTCAAAACTATTACAAATCAAGTGTTTGATAAAATTTTTTATTTAGCAATTTAAAACTAACAGATAATGATTAGGGTTTAAACCATTAATGGATTGAAAATGTTACTTAAGGTAGCTTTTTATCTACTAAACTGCTAGCAAATTGAAATTTTTCTAGTTTTATTGATAAATTTATCAATTTTAATTTTTTAATTTTTTATCACAATTTTTAATTGATACTTTTTTAATTAGTTTCAATTTTATTTTTTGTTTATAATAACATTAAGTGATTATTATATTTTTATTTTTACATTAATTTATCATAAAAAAACATATTAACTTAATAAATAAAATTTACTAATTAAACGAAAAAAATAAAATTTTTTGTACTTTTTTTAAAAATAATATAATTTTTTCTTTGTTAAAAATAAAAATTGTAGTGTGATTACACTATTATAATTTATTTTCTTACTATTACTTTTATAAAATTAATAATTTTTATAATAAACAATATAAAAATATATACTTAATTATTTTTAAACATGTTTTTATTAATCATTTAACATTGAACAACAACCACTAACTATTGAATAACTAAATAGTTTTATTAATCTGATCCACTATCTACTATTTACTACTTGTTTTTCACTTTTTGCTATTTACCATCCATCATTCATTATCTATTATCACTATCCACCATCTGCTATATACTATCCATTAAATTTATCAAACATGCCCAAAAAAGTACTTAAAGTAGGTTCTAACCGTTAATTGTGAATCTTAAACCATTATGTAAATAATTTTATCAAACATTTAATTTGTAGTATTTTGAGATAAAAAATTAATACACTATTACATGGCAAGTTGGACGAAATCTTAACCGCTAACCTTAAACAATTATACCAAAGGAGCTCTAAATTCCTCCGAGTTTTTTTTTTTTTTTTTTTGTGAAAAAATTCCAAAGTGACTGCATATCAAAGAAAAATGCCTTTGTGTGTTTGAGTATATTCTTTTTGTCCGCTCTGCGCAGCTAGTCCCCGGTATGAGTTAGGTTTTAGGTCTAGTCCTTGTTATTTTTGGGTCAGTTTAAGTCCTTAGGTTTGATCTTGTGATGGTTAGTCCCTTTTTAGTCTTTTGTCCTTGCTTTTCAATTTTCTTGCCATTTGATGAGGCTTTTTCATTATCCAAAAATAAAAATTTTATTTATTGAGAGTCGGTTTGATAAGCCTTGTTGTCATTGGGATCTCGACATTTCAATGCCAAATAAAGGCTAATGTTTTTTTATTTTTCTTACTGAGTAATATTTAAAATTACATTAAATTTTAATTAATTTATATATATTAAATCTTATAAGAAGAATTTTTTTTAACCTTTATTTTTTTATTTATAAAATTTAAATTTAAAATTTTATATAAAAAATTAAAATTTTTTTACTCGAATTAACAGATTTTTGATAAAACTAATAACTTATAATATAGATGATGTAGGTATGTTGCTTGGATTTTAATATGTTTTAAATTAATTTAATTTAATTAATAAATTAAAATTTTGAATTTTTTCAATTGATAATAAGTAAATCAATTTAACTTAATTTCAATTATTATAATTTAAGAGGTATTCGAAAGTCACATTGAATTTTAATTAATTAAAAATCAAATCGCATCAAATTTCATAAAAAAAAAGTTCTCCTAAATCTTAGTACATATTTTTTTTATTTATAAAATTTAAATTTAAGATTTTATTTTTATACAATCAATTTTTTTTCATTTAAATTAATAGATTGTTAGTTTTTTTTAATATTATTTTAAATATATGTGAGGATGTAAAAAATTTTAATAAAAATTATAAAAAAATACAATTATAAAACACATTAAAATCACATATAACAAGATAATAAGAGATAAGACTAACTAATCTAGTAAAGAACTAAGACGTAATAAAGTTGAAATGGTATTACCTTAGAAGAAAGAATTAAACCCACAAAATCCAGCACTTGATCACCGATTTAACACATCGAATTGAAGGCTGCAATGAAGGCATACAAACCAACGTCATTATCGATCAAGAAGGTGGAGAGTTTTGAGATTATACCTTCTGTTTTTATAAGAAACAATCGAATTAAGGCCGCACGATTAGAAAAGAAAAAAAAAATTAGGGTTGTGCTATTTTATAATAATTCAATTAATTAAGTTATCTTGTAAAAAAATAAAATATAAAAAGAATAATCAATACAATTAATATTATAATATAATCATAAAAAAAAACATTAAGTACAGAAATAA